ATTTTCCCCCACACTGCTTACACACCAGGTCGTCCGGCACATTGGGGACCGCAGTGAGTATGCTCCCCGTCCCCCTGCAGGCCTTGTGCTTCGGAGAAGCTACGATGTGTCAACGTGCAGTAACGCGAGCATGGAAGACACACATGCACCAAGGGCACTGATTCCTCACTGTGGCAACGTCTGCGTACTGAAGTTTGCCATGCTCCCCTCCCTTTGTCATCCGCTGGTGGATGATGTGTTGTTTTCTGGTTGGGAACGTGGCTCCGCACACAACCCCCCCTGTCGACCGAAGGTTGCAGACGTAAGATGTTTGATCCTCGTCTGGCAGGGGTTGGGGTGCTGCTATGTCGATAGGGGGCTCCCATCTAGGCGGCGGAATGGCGACAGCAAAATACTGCGTGCGCAACTCTGTGACATCCAATCGTATGAAATCTTCCCGCGCCCTTTCTGGCAGAAGTACATCTGTGTACCTGCCGTGCCGTGCAGTGTATCCAACAAATCCCGCCCACAGTCGATGCTCTGCAACGCAAGCATGTCCTTCCGATGTCTCCGTGCCCATGGATTGATGTCGGCAGCACTTCCCAGAGTCCCATCCGGCAGGACCGTTGGAGCCGCTTCGCACCGCAATTGCCCGAACATGGCCGCGAACACATTTACGTGCAGAGGGGGGTAGGTAGCTAGCTGCTGGTACCATCGCAAACGCCGTACTTGCAGGTCTAACTTCGATGGCACCATGTGTAGGAATGCCCAGACTGCACTATTCGGTACTGACGTGTACTTCGTCACAATATTTGTGTCCACTGTACGCATGCACGCACCTCCCTTCATCAATTACCACCCAAGCTTCAGCACAGAATGGTCCAGCATCTTGTGTTCCCCTGGCGCAAGTACATACGTTTCCAGTCCCGAGTGCAACGCACCTATGACAATACCTTGAAACACTATCCGCATATCATGTGTAGGCAAACGCGGTCGATACCACAACCGTGTATATGTGCACCACCCCACGTATGCGTTGTGTATGACTTGTCGTATGTGTGGTTTATTGCACCCGTGAAAATGAAACATCCTACCCAGATATTTCGAGAAGCAAAACCCGTGGTCCCAGGAAGCAGGAAGTATGGCATCATGCACGGTGTGTTTGATATATTAGTGCGCCCTGTCCCCCCCGAACCGCTTGGATTGGATTGGACTGGATTGGTTCTGTGCCATGTCGCCCCAAGCGCATCATCCAGATGGATGTTGGACTTGAGGACCTCAATTAACAAATCCTCTGGCGTGGTAGCGATGGCTTTCTTGTAGATGTCATCGGCATGCGAGGAAACGTCCAAGCCCGTGGGCTGTCGTGTGATAGGGTCGACCACGTCCAACGGAGAATCCGGATCATCATGGCGAAGGGCCTCCCTTCAACACTCGCGGGTGGTAGTCTCCCCGGAGGGCGCCGGAGCACCATCCGAGCAATTCACCGTCATCAGTCATTACATTGTCCCGATACCGTTGTTTAAGCAATTTCTTGTCTTCCTCCCGTGCAAGACGCTCCACCGCATCATCGAGCTTCTCAGGAGCAGGGGACGGAAAGGCGTTGGCCATGTCATAATTGTCGCTGCTATGGTTGATCCCTGACTTCGGAGGCGACGCGCGACAGCTGCTTGCTGCACCATGGACTCGAAGCGCGATTTGTTAGAATAGTACCCAGAAGCGTAATGCCTGTAGGACTTAGGACTGCTAGCCTGCCATAGTTGACTGTAGTACGACTTACTGTGTGGGTCCCAAGAGTTCACCAACCGCACCGCGCCGCAACCGTCCTTCTCATTCCCCTTATCAAGTCTAGACGCTTCGCGTATCCCCACCAGCCCGTCCAGAAACGACGCCCAGGCGAGTAGAGGGTCGTCCTGAGGGGCTTTTCGGCGTCTTGGGTGCCTCGGGGGGCCTCTGTGGGCCGTTCGGGATCCTCTTTGGGGCCTCCTGGGGGCCTCTTGGGGCCTCTTGGGGCCATCTTGGGGCCTTTGGGGGCCTCCTGGGCGCTTCTTGGGGCCTCCTGGGCGCTTCTTGGGTGCCTCTGGGGGGTCTCTTGGGGCCTCTTGGGGGTCTCTTGGGGGCCTCCTGGGGGCCTCTTGGGGGGCCTCGGAGCCATCTTGGAGGAGATCGATCAACGAAGGGGGGTTCCGTAATTACAGCCCCCCCCTCAGGAGCCACGATCCTCGTGAGGGGTGTCGAATTTTAGCCCTCCCAGGGGTCGATCTTGGGCGCTCCAACGCGCCGCGGAACCCCCTGTCCAGGTCAGTGGGGAGGGGGTAGGGCAAGGGGTAAACCCCTCCCGAAGGGGAAGAGGGAGGGGTGGAAGAGGAAACTCGTTAAACCACCGACGCCCAGAGGGCTGGTGGGATTTGGAAGGTCTGTGACCTGTGCCACCAAATTGGTGTTTGTCCTTGTCTTCTTACTTCGACATGCAAGTGATGGACCCTGCGCATGAAGTTAGGTGCCGTGGGAGGTGTCCTGTCTGTCCCCAACCCAAGTCGGGGTCGCTCGATTGAGAAATCTGGTCGGACTAATTGCCTCCATAGCTCTATTGGTGCACTCCACGGGGACACGACCTTGGAAGACGAGATGTATGAACATATTTGACAAGTCGACGAACGTCGGCTTTGGCTGACACTCCTACCAAGGGTGTGAATGCCCAGGCGTGTGCAGCATGTACGTGCTGATCTCGTGCAGTTCGCCACTCGAGACGCTCTGCCGCGCAACCTCCCATGGGACCTGGTTGGGACAGTTGCATCGGCGAACACACCTACCGGGAAGTGCGGCAACGAGCTTGAACACATAATCCCAAAATTCAGAATTTTGTTGTACCTGTGTTTGAGTACGTGGATGGTGGGCATGTATACCACAATTTCACAAACATCAGCGTCCCCTGGTTTGATACGAATCGCCCCAAATTGGCCTCTATATTTTTTTCGCACATGCGTTTGCTTGAACAGCTTGCAGCGTAGACCGATGGCAACTCCTGCAGGTTGATGCGGGAACAACCTGTTCCGAAAGGCTGGTCACCTGTACACGAAATGAGTATCAATAATCAATACGCTTCACTGTCGCAACCAGGTCCTCAAGCCGTCCGACGTCCGACGTCCCGGGTAGTGCAAACATGGATTGGTACCTAAATTCAATCACGATGTTACGCAGCCGATTGGGGTATTTCAAGGAGAATGCATTGTATACTACACATGACCACTGTGGCAATCGCGATTCCCCTGCACCCCGCCTATTCGTACCACCACTGTTGACCCTCGATCTGACTGCATATGAATGTGTACGTGGAACGTTTTCAACAGACTTCAGCCATGCGCAGAGGGGGGTGGGGGGAGGGGGAGGGCTTCTAAGAAGCACCCCTGCTTATTCGAAGGCGCGTGGCCTATCTATAGATGTAAGGCCGGCGCCTTCTGAGAACTCTTCCCCCTCCCTCCACCCCCTCCCTCCACCCCTCCCTCCACCCCCTTCCTCCACTCCTTCCTTCAAAGAAGCCCTCCCCCCTCCCTCCACCCCCTTTGTGCGCGCCGCCAAAGACTGGCACGGCAAGCGGCCCGCACGAGAATCCCATTGCCATGCCCCATGGGAAACGTCAGAGGCCCGAACGTGGAGGCCAGCCTTCGGCTGCTCGGTACGCACTGGCCAGGAGGAGCAGGAGAAGGAAGAGGAGGAGGAGAAGGAAGAGGAGGAGGAGGAGCAGGAGAAGGAAGAGGAGGAGGAGCAGGAGGAGGAGGAGGAGGAAGAGGAGGAGGAGTAGGAGGAGGAGGTGGGGGAGGAAGAGGAGGAGGAGTAGGAGGAGGAGGAGGAGGAGGGGGAGGAGGAGGAGGAGGAGGAGGACCAGTGTACACTCAAGACTCACAGCGATGTTGCAATCGACCTCCCTCGAAGCCCCCTGTTCATGGGCCCCTACAAGGATTCATGTTCATTGAAGGAAGGGCGATGCTGGAAAGCAATCGTTTGAACATCCTGAACTGCGCCAGAAAACCAATCCTTGGACTTCAACGCCGCGAATCACCGTTACTGTCGAGTCTTGACGATCCTGAATCGTTCCAGAACACAATTTCTGGTAATTCAGCACCACGAATCAACGCAACTGTTGCGCCCTGACAGTCCGACATCGTGCCAAACCGCAATTTTGTGGTACGTTCACCAATGAGAATGTTTGAGATTGTTGTGAACTCTTCAAACGAATGTGCGCGGCGCTAAGGCGAGAGCCACATTTTGAAAACGGCCCTCCCTCCATCCGTGAAGCTGTTGCACATGTTTCAAGACGGATGTGCGCGTGGCTACGGCGAGGGCCACATTTTGAAAACGGCCCGCCCTCCATCCGTGAAGGTGTTGCAAATTTTAAAGGCGGATGTGAACGGGGCTAAGGCGAAAGCAACATTTTGAAAACGACCCGCCCTCCATCCGTGAACTGATACATTCTGTTTAAAACGTGTTTGCGCGGGGCTCAGGCGAGAGCCACATCTTGAAAACCACCCGCCCTCCATTTGTGAAGTTGTTGCCACCTTTGTGAACTTCAAGATCATAAAAGGTAATAAAGTCTCCAGCGACACGCCCGGCCCGCCCTTCCGACTGGCCGGGGGGTGCGACAGGGAGGAGTTATTTATAAAAAAGGAATTGAGGAGCAGGGAGGAGGAGGAGGAGGAGGAGGAAAGGGAGGAGGAGGAAAGGGAGGAAAGGGGGAGGAAAGGGAGGAAAGGGAGGAAGGGGAGGAGGAGGGGCGAGAAAGAGGGAGGCGCTCGGGCGGGCGCCCTGGGCGGAGGGGACCTAGGGGTCAGGCTTCCCGCCGGCAGGCACATCCCTGCTTCGGCGCCTGCCAGCACCGGAGAAACCAGGTGCGGGCAGCTGATTCGTTGACCCGAACCCCTTTGCAGTCCCCGCCTATCTCCCCGTTCGTCCACCCGTACCTCGCATTCTCTTTTCGACTCGGTCTCGCTCCGCCGCTTCCTCCTCCACGCTGTGCCGGTTCGAGTTCGGTTGTGCGCCCGCTGAGCGGGCGCACAGTCGAAACCCCGCCGCTGCGCCACCCATGATCGAGCGGGCAGCAATGAAGGCGGCCGGTCTCTGGCTGGCGGCCCTCGCTCATTGCGCGCAGGGCGCCCAAATGCTCCGCGGCCTGGTCAGCGATCACGCGTTCGCAGGCGCCATTGGGGCTGGAGCTGGAGGCCACTCCAGCAGGCACTCGCTGGAGGACGAGAAGCCGATCACGCAGGTTGTCAGGCTTCTGGAGGAGATGCTGAAGAAGTCCCAGGCGGAGCAGGACAAGGACCGCGAGGCATACGCCAAGTTCAAGTGCTACTGCGATACGCAGACCGAGGATAAGGAGAAAATTATCGAGGAGGCCACCAAGGCCATCGAGCTCCTCTCGGCCGCCATCTCGGAGCTGCAGGGCGCCAACGGCGAGCTGAGCATCGAGGCTGCCAGGATGAAGAAGGAGATGGAGGCGAACGAGCAGGCGCGCGAGGTCGCAACCGAGCTGCGCGGCAAGGAGGAGGAGGCCTACATCACTCTTAAGGACGACCTGGAGGCCAACATCCCGCTGCTGGCGCAGGCCATCCAGGTGCTGGGGGAGATCGGCGCGGACCAGACACTGGAGACGTCGGCGGCGCACGAGCAGTTCATGGGCGGCTTCAACGAGTCCGAGGCCCTCGTGAGCCTCGAGTCGAAGGTGCGCACGGCGCTGCTGGCCGCCAAGGCACTGCTGAAGCCAGGGAGCGAGAAGCAGCAGAGGCGTCTGAGTATGTTGCTCCAGGCACCGCTCGGCACCACCTACGAGACGCAGTCAGGCGAGATCGTGGGCATCCTCCGCGAGATGAAGGAGTCGAAGAAACAAGAAAACATCAGCATAGACAAAGAGTTTTGGAGCTCCTCGCAGATTTCTTGGGTTGACGCTGGGCCCCGATGTCGGCGCCTCTGGCGACGCCCCTGGCACACTCCGCGCCCCGGGCAGGGCGGAGCAGCGCCGATCGAAGGAATCCGCGCGGCCCTCCGAAAGGCTGGAGTTCGCGCGTGTCCTTCTCTTCCGAGGAGACGTTCGAGGAGAACCTGGCGGAGGCGACCGCGGCAGAGCAGGCGGCGGTGAAGGCACACTCGGCCTTCATCCAGACGAAGGAGGAGGAGCATGCGAAGCTGAAGACCGCCTCCGACGACGCCCAGGACGCCATGGGCACCAACGACGGCAGCCTTGCCGCCAAGAAGGACCAGCTGAAGGAGGAGGTCCAGTCGAAGGCGGACGCGGAGGACTTCCTGGCCAAGCTGGAGCCGATGTGCTCGGACAAGGCCAAGGACTACGAGGCCCGGAAGCTCTTCCGCGCCAACGAGCAGGCGGCCATCTCGGAGGCCATCGCCCTGCTCAACAGCGACGCCGCCTACAAGATCGCCTCCGCGACGGCGTCGCTCGGCGGCGCCGGGCCGCGTGCCAAAGGGCCTCCGCCCCCGAGGCTGCTGCAGCTGGGGAGGAGCAGCACCTCCGCCGTGCGCCGGCGGGTCGAGCAGCTCCTGGCGCAGGCCGCGGCGAGCACGCGGTCGGCCAGGCTCCGGCGCGTCCTCGCCTCGCTCTCCTCCGGGAACGCCTTCGACACGGTGCTGGCGGAGATCGAGAAGATCAGGGCGCTGATCGAGGAGGAGGGCAAGGTCGATGCGGAGAAGAAGGCGTGGTGCGAGAGCGAGCGGGAGACGAACGAGGAGAACCTCGACCTGAAGCTGAAGGACATCGAGACCCTGAACGGCGACATCGGCGAGCTCGTGGAGAGGATCGAGAGCCCCGAGACGGGCCTCAGGGCCTCGATCGCCGCCAAGGAGGAGGCACTCGTGGAGAACACCGGGGCGATGAAGGAGGCCACCGACCAGAGGCGGACGGAGAACCTGGACTACCAGGAGCTGGTCGCCAACACCTCGGAGGCCCGGGCCCTCCTCGCCAAGGCCATCGCGATGATCGAGAACTACTACGCCACGGCCTACCAGGAGGCCACCGCCGCGCTGCTCCAGGAGGACCCGGCGCCCCCAGAGATGGGGGGAAGGGCACCGATGGGCACCGAGGAGAAGGGCGCGGAGGTCGTCACCATGCTCAAGTTCCTGCTGGGGGAGGTGGAGAAGGAGGAGGCCAGCGCCCACCAGACCGAGCAGAAGGCGCAGTCCGACTATGAGGACGACATGACCCAGCTCAAGCAGACCGAGGCGGACCTGCAGGACGCCCTGGCCGGGCTCCAGGAGGAGCTCGCCGAGGCCGAGAAGACGCTGGTCAACAAGCGGTCGGAGCTCGCCCAAACGGTCAAGGACAAGGACGCCATCGTCGCCTCTCTCGAGCAGATCAAGCCCGGCTGCGACTTCATCACCACGAACTTCGACACTCGCGAGCAGTACCGCGCCTCGGAGACCGCGGCGCTGGAGCGGGCCGTCGAGCTGCTGCAGGGCAGCCCTGCGTACGTAGCCGCCAAGGACTGGGGGCTCAGCGCTAGCGGGGAGTCAGCACTGACGGGGGTCAGCCACAGCCCCCTCCTCCGCCTCCTCCTCCTCCTCCGCCTCTTCCTCCTCCTCCTCCTCCTCCTCCTCCTCCTCCTCCTCCTCCTCCTCCTCTCTCCTCCTCCCTCCTCCTCCTCTCCTCCTCCTCCTCCTCCTCCTCCTCCTCCTCCTCCTCCTCCTCCTCCTCCTCCTCACGCCATTTTGGCTCAAACCTGCCGCTGGGCCGCCCCCGGCCCGCCGGCCGGCCTCGCCCTGGGGACGCAGAGCATGTCCGGAGCACGCGCCACGGTGCCGCTGGAGGCCGCCCGCGGGGCGTTCACGCGGCCGCGGGCCTGGCTGTCGCCGATGGGCGGCGCCCTGCCGCGCGGCTGACCCGCGAGGCGAAGGGCCCTCTTCCCGAGCGTTCACTGTGGGTGGAGGGCAAAGGGTGAAATCTGAAATGCCGTTTCGATGGATTTTCGAGGCTTGAATCTGCAACAGGTGAATCACACGACGGATTGGTTCTCGAGGTGCGAAAGCTCATGTGCTCGTTCTTCGCACCGCGGCGGCGGAGCTGCGCCACCTGGCGCTTTGCCGCCTGCGGACGCGGCGGCCCCCTCGGAGGCGCTTCGGCGGCGCCGCCGACCGCTCGGCCGCTGTGGCGCAGGCGTGGCGCGCGAGCAGCCCGACGCCGACATGCTAACGGTGGAGGACACGGAGGTGGGGGTTGTCGGGGCGGCGGTGGCAGCGGGGGCCGTTGACGTCGGCCAGGAGCTGACGCCCGACGACTGGGCCGACGACCTCCCGATCGTGCGGAGGCGCGGCCGTAGTGCGGGCGGCAAAATCATGGCGCAAAGGCAGGGACACGGACACGTGCGACATCCCGCCCGACAAGTTGAAGGCGGTCGCGCGGGTGCGCATTGCGGGCGGCGCGTGGGCTGGCCGCGAGGGCGCCATCACCCGTGTTGGCATCGACCTCGTAGGCGTCAAGCTCGACGCTATGGGCGACTGCAGGAACAAGGGCCGAGTCGGGGATGCCGGGGCAAGCAAGTCCTCGAGTTCGGCTAAGGCGCCGTTCGCGCTGACTGTTCTGCCTTTGGGCCCCCGAGGGAAAATCCGCTTACTCCCCCTCCTCCTCCTCCTCCTCCTCCTTCTCCTCCTCCTCCTCCTCCTCCTCCTTTGCCTCTGGCGCTGACCCAGAGTGCTTCGGGGTCACGCGGCGCCGACCCCCGTTTGCCGCGCCCCGCCAGTCCGGGTTTGGGAACCACCTCGTGGCCGGCCCGCGTTGGCGTCGCGGCCCTGGCTGGCCCAGGTTTGCGCTGGCCCAGGCGTAGTTCAGTGCGCCCCCCGAGAGGAGGCCGAGAAGCAGGAGTCCTGGGGCGACTGCAAGGAGGTCTGTCTCGAGAGCGGCGAGTCTCACGCGAAGTGCCTCGCCTGCAACGCCGAGGTTCCAGGGCCCGTTTCGGTCCTGTTCGATGTCGATTCGACGTCGATTTCGGCTGGCCCGAGCCGATTCGGTTCTGGCAGTGCGACGACCCGACGCGGCCCGATGCTTGCGTGGCGCCGTTGTGCACTCTGGGGCGGCCGATTTGATCCGATTTCGAAAACCGATCCGACGCACGTTCCGATTCGATCCGGTTCTCCGATTCGATGCTGGCTGGTCTTGGGCTCGGCGGCGCGCAGCAGAGGGTGGCGCGAATGGGCCAGTCGGTGATCTGAGACGGCAGGAGGGCATTCTGTGACGGTCTGGGGGCCTTGTGAGGGTCCCTGGAGGCCGAACGCTTCAAAATGCCTCCCGTCGTGTTTTTTCTGTTCTTCCACGACGCGAGGGCGTCGCAAACAAATCGCAAAACCGCGGGAATCATGACCGGATCCCTGTCCAGACTTTTTTCTTAGACCTCAGTCTTCTGCGGCATCTCTCGAGCAGGACCGATCTGCGAGAGCCCCACGGCCCGAAGCCCGGCGAAAACGCCCAGTGTGAAAAAAAATGCAACACCAATGTTTCAGGGCTGCCGCACGTTCTGGGGACCATCGCCCCTGGCCCTCTGTCAGACATCCGATATTCGAGTAAGGCGAAACGGGGTCCCTAGAGATCTGGGCCTCGCCCCCCGGGGCCCGGTCTTCATCAGGACGCTCCCGGGGCACGGCGTGGGCCCCCAGAGGCCGAAGCTTGCGACGAACCTCCGCGCGGAGCTTCCCGAAACGTTGGAGGCCCCGCGCGTCGAGGTGTCCGTGCCCGGCTACTGCGCGGGCCACGCCGGCGTCGCCGGGTGCGAGGCGGGCGGCGGGCCGCCGCCGCCTGGCGGCCGGCTCTGACTGGGGCGCCCGGCCGCGGCGCCGCGGCGAGAGTCGACATCGGGCTGGGGCGTCGCGTCGCGGCCATGGGGCGCCTCGCGCGTCCTCGAGCGCGTTCCACTGCTCGCCAGGTGCCGACTCGCACACGCCCGAAAGACACGTGCTTGCTTCGATGGAAATCATCGCAGATCCCCTGCGGCGGCTCCAGGTCACTCTGCGAGTGGTGGGACGCGCTCGCCTAGCGTGGTCTGCAGGGCGGTGGGGCGGGGGGCAGCGGCCCCACAGCGGCCGAGCAGCCGCCACCGCGCGGCGGGGGCGGCCTGGCCGCCGCCCTGCTGGCTGCGGCGGGCGGCGGCGAGAAGCGGCGAGGCCTCGTCGCTGTGCTCCTGGCGCGGCTGTCGCGTAAGGGGTCAGGGGAGGAGAGGAGCGTGGCGGGCAGGCAGGCAGGCAGGCGGGCGGGCGGGCAGGCAGGCAGGCAGGCAGGCAGGCAGGCAGGCAGGCAGGCAAGGGGAGGAGGAGGAGGAGGAGGAGGAGGAGGAGGAGGTAAGGTAAGGTAAGGTAAGGTAAGGTAAGGTAAGGTAAGGTAAGGTAAGGTAAGGTAAGGTAAGGTAAGTTAAAGGTTAAGGTTAAGGTTAAGGTTAAGGTAAAGGTAAAGGTAAAGGTAAAGGTACATATAAAGGTAAAGGTAAAGGTAAAGGTAAAGGTAACGGTTAGGTTAGGTAAGGTAAGGTAAGGTAAGGTAAGGTAAGGCAAGGCAAGGCAAGGCAAGGCAAGGCAAGGCAAAGGTAAAGGTAAAGGTAAAGGTAAAGGTAAAGGCAAAGGTAAAAGTAAAGGTAAAGGTAAAGGTAAAGGTAAATGTAAAGGCAAAGGTAAAGGTAAAGGTAAAGGTAAAGGTAAAGGTAAAGGTAAGGTAAGGTAAGGTAAGGTAGGGTAGGGTAGGGTAGGGTAAGGTAAGGTAAGGTGAGGTAAGGCGCTTGGGCTCTTCTGGCCTCCCTGCGATGGGACAATTGGGCAGGCCCCCCTTGTTGGGCCTGCACGCGGGAGCGGGCGATGGGCTCAGGCCCACGGCCCGTTGCCGCCACGCGGGGGGGGGGGGCACCCCCTGTAGAGGTTCAGTTCAACAAAATTGTAAGGGGGGGGGGGGATCCGTCGCCACCGCACGTGAGGGTCAGGCCCCCCTGGCTTAAGTGCGGGGGGGGAAGGAGGGGAAAGGGAGCGGGCTACGGCGGGGCGGCAGCGGGGTCCCTGTACTTGTCGAGCGGTCGCGCGCGAGGCGCGTGCTCTCCGCTCTGACTCTCCCCCCCCCCCCCTCCGCTCCTGCCCCCACCCTCCCCACCCCCGCCACTCACCTACCTCCTCCTCCTCCTCCTCCTCCTCCTCCTCCTCCTCCTCCTCCTCCTCCTCCTCCTCCCCCTGCTCGGTGGACCCCGTGGCCGAATCATGGATGCTGGCTTGCACATTGGCTCACGTGGCCCTTTGTGAGCTGAGCTCTGAGGGTACCGTGGTTGTGTTTGCTCCTCGTCCATTGGTAATATCCCCCATCTCCCTTGTGCTGTGCAGTAGTAAATGTACATGTCCGTGTTAGCCCAGGCAGCATATTTGTGTCGGTGTCTGCGCAGCATAGAGAGGTCGACCGATCGTAGTGTGATCAACTGAGCTGTCGCTGTGCCTCTCGCTGCGATCTGCGAGCCGTCGTCTCAGGCCCTTTTCGTAGTAGGCACCTTCGGGGGGACATCGTCGTCTTTCTTCTCCTTGCCCTCCACCAGCTGCTGGTCGAGCTCTTTGATCCTCGCCCGCAGCGCATTCGTCTGACGCGTGCTTGGGCTGCTGCTCGCACTCGTGCCCGACGCTCCTTCTCCTCCTCCTCCTCCTCCTCCTCCTCCGTACATGCGGGGGTACTCCTCTGGCTCGATCCACTTCGACGGGTCGTTCTGCTGCCAGCCGTAGTGAACCCATGTATTCGGATCATTGTGCTTCGACGGCGGCTGGTATGGGGCCCCGCTCGTCTGAATCACGAGCACCTCCTTCCCGTTCTCCTGCTCGAAGTGGGCCTGTTCATCACTCTGCGGCTCCGCGTAGTCTTTGTCTGCGCAGTACTCGATCTCCTCGTGAATCTTCTCGTGCAGCATGCTGAGTGTCTCCGTCATCTTCTGGATCGCGATCTCTATCGTGTTGTCCTGGCTCTTCAGCTGGTAGTAGTACTCCTCTTTGGCAAAGTCCTCGGCCGCAGTGTTCGTCTTCCCTAGCTTGGTCCGAACCGTGGAGATCGCCAGCATGCGCTTGTGGTCCTTCATCGTCTCCAGCTCTCGCCAGATGCCCTTCGCCACCGACTGAAGGACGTGCTTCGTGCTCTTCAAGTTGACCTCCGCGCGCTTCAGCACGTGATCGATCGTCCCCACCTCCGTGGCTCCCTCGCCTCGGTAGTAGGTGCCCCTCGCTCCGCTGGACCACCTTACTCCTCAGTGGTAGTAGCTCTCCCTTCGTGGTGGGAGCAGAAGCTTGTCGCCGTCATGGTTTGAGCCTGAATAGCTGGAGTCGGATCACATTGTTTGGGCAGTTGTTGGTCGTAGTAGCAGGAGTCGTTATTCTCTCTTGGGGCCTCGAATCCTGCGGATTCCTAACAAGGTGCCTTTGGAGTCCTAGGGGGTCCCTTACATGTCACCCGTGACCGTAATCAGCACACGGTAAGATTCCTCCCAAGCTCGTGGATCCCACTAATATAGTAGTGTTAGTTTTCGTCATACAGATTGGGCAATCTGTCCGTGGCTCATGCTGGGCTCCTCGCAAGCTTTGCTGCTGCTGTTTCCCGACTTCTAGGCTGCTTGCTTCCTGGACCTACGCAGCCGATGGCTCCTGCTGCTGCTCATGGCGGTCGAGGGTGATCATGTGACCATGCAAACCTGTCCTGCCCCATCCCACCCGGCAAAAACCTGGGTGGCAGTGGGGGCTCATAGGGAAAAGGTAAGAAGAAAGCATGAGATCACAAACGAGGTAGACAAGGAGGTGAATTGGGGAGGTGCACGGAGGTGTCTCGACTCCGCTTGCAGAGGCCGTGTGGGGGCAGCCGCGGTGGCTCGTGCTCAGGGGCAAGGGGCTGAGGGCCGCGGTGGCTGCTCTTTAGGAGGCGAGATGCTGCAGTTAGCGTGCTCCTTCGGAGTGGGGTAACGCCTCCCAGGCGGCGGTACTCTGTAAGCCAGTTCAGGGTCTACGCATGCTGTTGGGGGCGGCAAGGCTGTAGCACGCATCAGTGGGCGAAACGATGCACAGGGGTATAGCGAAGGAGACCAACAGATCTGAAATGCAGGGTGAGGAGTGGGCAGGAATAGAGGCAAACAAAAGATGGAGCAATGTCTGTGTAGTCACCCCCTTCCCCAAACCCTGCCATGCCTGCCTTCCTCAGAGGTGGAGGTCGTCGAGGAAATGGAAGTAGATTGAGTAAACGAGGTAGGAGAAGTGGTGACAGGGTGCCCAGCCTGTTCCTCTGAGGTACTAGTCGTCGAGGAAAGCGAAGGATATCGAGTAAACGATGTCGGAAGAGAGGTCGATGCGCATGACCATCGGAGGTGGATGTCGACGAGGTCATCGAGGTCGACGGAGCCTTCGATGTCGGAGGAGTGGTTGGCCAATGCCTTGCTTTCCTCCATGGTCTGTGTCAACGTGGGAGCTGGAGTAGGTGGAGTGTTCGGGGTCGATGGCTCCTAGTTAGCCTCCTCATTGTCTCGACCTGCTGCCTCTTCCTCTTCCAGCGCGAGACCTTCTTGTATAATCTCCCAGGGACCTCTGATCCGTCTGTCTTCTGTTGATCTTCCCTCAATAGTCAACATGCTCGTCCGATCGAGCTGGATTCGTTCCCACATGGAGTTAATGACGCGGCTGCGGAGACGAACGGTCGTCAGACTGACAAACTGGGTCGGACTGACCGAGCGCGCGATGAGTAGGTGTCTCTCCCTCCGCGAGATCCTCCTCTGCTGATAAAGAGTCGCATGCACAAACGTTGATAATGCGACCGCTCCATCCATGAGAACTGTGCGTTTCAGATCTGCAATGCACAAAAACCCGATCGAGGTCGTCACTTGGCCACTTCTGTTTCTCCTCCTCCTCCTTCCATACTACTGGGCTGCATCCTTCGGCCGTTCCTTTTGTGGTATCGGTACTACTGTGCTACCCAAATCACCTCTGAGCCAAACCCTTAGTACGTGTATCCTCGTTCCGTCAACGCTCTGGTATAATATTAGTGATCAGTTGGCCCCTGCAAGCGTAATTCTAGATGTCCGTCCGTCACAGTCCGTAGTAGATAGCACCCTGCTTACCTAACCCATGAGTAGTTATCAGTGTAGGCCACCCTCGCCCACGCAGTCTCGCAGGGATGATTGTTCGCTTGCTCTCCTGGCGCGGTAGTAGCTTGCTGATTCTAATAGTGCTTGCATGTTGCTGCTGTTGGGGGCTAGCTCTCTGAGCTGTGTGAGCCTCACGGGGTCTTTGCTCAAGTCCTCAGCTGTTTTTTCTTCTTTCGTCCTCGGTGGGACTGCAGGCTGTGGTCCTGGGCCCCTCCATGCTGTATGCAAAGCTCCGGGGTCGGGTTTTCCTTGATCAGTGATTGCGTCGCGTGTGTCGAAATCGATGTTCGCACTGCTCTGCGTGCTGCCTAGCGCCTCTGGAGCGCCTTCAAATTCCTCTCGCACGTCCTCTCGAGCTCCGTCTCTGGTCCGCAGCTCACCGCCTTCTTGCCCCCCAAGGGAAATAACAGCCCGTGGTCGATCGCTGCCTTGGGCCTCGAATGCGTGGATCTCGTCGATCGATCTTCTCGATGTGTGCTTTGGGGGGGCGGCGGGGGCTTGCGTGCCGATCATCGCCTGGCGGACGCACGGCGTCGGGTTCACCGCGTAGCTCGCCTTGCCAAGCCGACCTGTGTCGTCCGTGTCGCTGCGCTCGTGCGTGTCCGCGGCCTTGCCAGTGCAGGATCGTCTCCGCCAGGAACCGGGGCCCCCGCTCCGCTTCCACCACCTCCAGGTGCTCCTCGAGCAGTGCCATCGCGCCCTTGTCCTCCTGGCTCGGGCTCTGCTGTGTCCTCGGGTGTCTTGGCGATGCCGTGCGGCAGAATGCATGCGAGGTGGATGTGTGGAGGGCCGGGCTGATGCCCCTTTTCCCTTGTCTCTGACTTGCTGGGCGTAGTCTCTCCCTGCTTTGGTCATGGCGATGCATGCTGCGCACATGATCGGCACCGGCCAGACACTCGCTCCCAGGTGCATGAGCTCGCGCGTCTCTTGCGCCGTCCTCAGCGACAGCTTGTGCAAGGCCAGGACGGGGCCGATGAGCTCTGCGAGCCCGATCCGTTGCTTCCCCATCCGCCTCCTCCCGCTGCTGCCTCGC